CACATGATTTTAATAAACATCTGCGGCAATAATATGGAATTTTTTCCGTCAGTGTATACATAGTACCTGCCGGATAATTATGTTAACCAGAGAGGCAAATATTAGTAACACTTATATAATAGCTATATATTTTTTATTTTTTTAAAAAATAGTTTATTTTACAATCAAATAGTTTTAAAATACTAATATAAATTTTTATATAAAGGTTTTACAAAATGAATAAAACTTAACCTTTTTAAAATTTATAATTATTATTAATAATAGCTATTTATTTTATTTATATTCTTTTTAAAAAAAATCTCTTTTAGTATAGGTGGCACAATATAGAAATATTATAGGATTATAATATAAAAACTCTATATAATATGAATTGCCTCTGGGTACAAATCATACATAGTCAGCACTTTACGGTATGCCATTTTTAAATTTTCACCTCTTGAAAATGACTTGGGCGATTCTTAATGTAGACAATGAGACTAAATGTAATGTAATTCATATTTATTAATGACATTAATAAAGATAATAAACTTAAGTAGTTTCTTTTTTTTAAAAGTACCGTATCCTGCCGTGAATAAGCACCCACCTTTTGCAATTTTCATACCAAGTTTCTCATGACGGATCTGTATAATTTTGGTATCATTCGAATCGTTTTGATAAGCTGATTCGAATAGTACTAAAATTATGCAGATCCGATCATTAGATCAGGAGAAACTTGGATATGAAAATTGCAAAAGGTGGGTGCTTATTCACGGCAGGATACGGTATGTTTGAATTGATCTTTTTTGTATTATTCATTATATTTGAATCGGCCTTTTTTTTTTTTTATTCATTAGACCTATTATTAAATGACGGGTTAAATTTAAAGATGTACCAGCAGCGCGTGAATGAAGACAGTAATGTGATTTAAGAATATTACCAATTTCAAATAAATATAAATATATCTGATCGAAAATATGAATTAATAAACAATTTAGAATCTCAGAAATTTTCTTCGTTCATCCTCACCAAAATCATGGGTCACATCTTTTTGCAAAGCGCTATAAATATCTAATGAGTGCCGCCAAGAGAAATATCCATTATTATCTAATGATCATACTAACGACACTTTATGAGTTGGTGTTAAATAGTTATTCTAATAGCTCTTTAGGGTTAGAATGGTTAATAATATATTAAAATTTTCACGAGGAATTTCTCTGTTAAAACATAAAAGACAGTTTATAACAAATTGTTGCCATATTATATGTCTTACTATAGATAATATAAGAGTCGAAAGAAAAGTCCAAGAAAATAATTTTATTAAGCATATGTCTGTGCATACGTACAAATATGTATTAGTATTATTGCCATTTTAATGTCATTTATAAAAATATTGCCATTTTGCCATTATAATAAAAATGACATTACTATATATTTTAAAATGACATGTCTGTATATAATTACTGTAAAAAAAAGTATTTTATCTTTAATAAATTAATCAATTTGTATATTATGCAACTTTAATTAATTTCTCAGAGTCAAATTTGCAAAAGTTATAATTCCTGAAATTTCGGCATGATCCGTATAATAAAAACTGTTTTACAGATCGTTGTAACAATAATGTCAATAATGTCAACATTATTAAACTTTCGTTCGAATGCTTATTCAACATGTTTAGTGTGTCAATAAGTCTTAATAAGAAATATAAAAAGGCACTATATATTAATTAGATTTTTAGAATAAACATATATTGCATGAATTGGAGTACATGTTAAAAGAAGATCCTACATATAAATAAAATATTATTTTTAATTTGTATATACTAATTCCATCTCGAGCCGTAATTCATACAATAGCAAACAGGTTTTTTTTTATTGAAGGTTTAAAATATTTATGTTCAGTGAACATGGTTCTCCTGAAAGTGATGGATGCTTTTCAATACATCCATATCTTTGAAAATGCTTGAGACCCCGACTTATAAGATATATTCTAACACCTAAGTGTTCGAAATGATAGGTTTTCTAAAATTTTTTTTAACTATTTCCAACGAAAGTATCATATTTCTGCATTCAACCAAATACAATATTCAGTAATATTTATATTAATTTCCTGATCTTAAATTACGTATATACCAATTTTTATCAGGTGTTCCAGGAATTATGAAAATTTTTACGGGCCATTTTTAAAATTTTATGTTATGAGAAACAATAAATTAATTTGTACGGATTTATTATTTTTATAACTGAGATTTTTTGAATCTTTAAGTTTTCTTACAATCTTACACCACGTATCATACGTTTATATATCAAAGGTTACATAGTCTAATTTACGCAAATTACGTACATAGAATTATCGTTATGATATTACTATAACAGATAACGAGGGTAAACTGTATTGTAATTGAAAAAAAAGAAAACCATCGGTACAAGCGCATTAGTATAAATTATAAAATTATTTTTTTTATTTTCAGAACGTTTCAGATAAAATTAATATTTTCAAGAAAGACAATTCATGTATCTCGATATTCGTAATGCGAACTATGCTATTATCATTAAATTCCTTAATTATTTATTTATTATAATATAATTAGGATAAATAACCATCATTTGCTAAATCTATGTAAATATTAATTGTCTACAATATTCTTAAATAAAAATCCGGGATCACCAGGGACCGCTACTTCAATTGCTCTTTTTTCTTCTTCCTCCTTTGCTTCATCCCCTCTTAAAACTTCCACATTCGAATATCTTAAACTACGCTGCAAATATTCTTTGGATGTCACAAGAGTATCATACTCATTAAACAATAATGCTCTGTTAAACGCTGCCGTGCCAAATTTCTCCACTCGTTTTTTGAACTCTTGAACAAACGGCATAGTCTTTTTATTCTTCAAAATTCCTTTCTCTGATAAATTTTCTCTAATTTTAATATCGTCAAACGATTTCGTGTCCTAAACAGCGTATTAAAATTAATATAATTAATATACATACATCAGGCGAAAATAAATGTTTCGATTCATCGTAAAAATTATAATACAAACCTCATTAAAGTTCTGTTTTATCGCTTCAACAACAATATCTTGCCATTCCGGAAAACTCGTAGCAACGAATATTTTAAGTGTTTTGGGTTTATTAGGATCAAAATCTTCTGCTTTACCTTTTTTCTTTTTCTTTTGTGATGCAATTTCTAAATCACGTATCGATTTGATTATTTTTCGAACATATTCTCCTGCTTCAAGCAAACTTTCATCGACTGGAGATAACGGTTTCGGAAAAGATGCATCAATTATAAAACCTTTCTATTATTTCAATAATATATGTAATCAGTTAAGGTCAATAATAATACATATAGTAATTTAATATTTTAATATACTAAATTTTAATACCTTTGACAAAACTTCATGCCAAATATATTCAGACCAATGTGGAGCTATTGGTGATAATAATAATGCTTGTACTTCTATCCATCGCAAGATCAGATCTCGGTGCATTCCTTCGACAACTGTGGCTTCACGGTACCAATCACGTGCTGTTTGAAGCTCATAAAATCCATATTTAAGCGCATCACGATAAAAGGTGCTTTTATATAAAACCAATTATATACTTAGTTCTATTGTAATTATGTAAATTATACTCAAGAATTTGATTGCCCACTTACTCTTTATAAGCTTGGTCTGTTTGTTGAATTAATTTGTTAATTTCATTCTCAAACATGCGGTCATTGAAATTATCTGTTGGACCTGTGCGAAGATTATTTTGATTTTTAACTTGTTCCTAATAGAACAAATTGATATATTCCTGTGAATTGCATGAATTAAATCATACATGGCGTTAAATATCGTAGGTATTTACACATACCTCACACCATTCTTTCAACGTAAATAACCTTAAAATTGCTGCATTAGCGGTGGATTCTTCAAAGTTGGCGTCTTCAATCGAATCACCCGCATCTGCTAGGGTAACTCTAGTAGCATCTGCACCATACTTCTCCACCGATTCTGCAACGATCATAAAGTTGCCTCTACTTTTAGACATCTTTTCACCATTTATTTGCAAATGACCGTTTGATCTTACACCACGAGGCCATAAGTGTTCAGGAAAAATAGCAACATGATTATAAATAAAGAATGTCAAGTGATTCGGAATCAAATCTTTCCCTGAAACTCTCAGGTCTAAAGGATAAAAATATTTGAACTCTCGTTTCAGCTTATCAAGTTTTTCCTGTGTGATTGAGGAAGTTGCCGGAAAAGGTCCATCGCAGAATATATAATCCCAAACTTGATCTGTCAATTCTGAAGCATTGATTCCGAGTGGTCCCGGTTTCGAACCATCAAGGGCACCACCTAGTTTCACATAACACTGATGTTAGAATAAAACCACCCATAATTGATCATAAAATAAATATATTATCAAAAGTATGCTAATTACCATGCAATAAGTGTGCAACCGTATAATATGCCATGTATATTGTGGAATCAGATAAACTTTCTACTAAATATTGAGGATCCCACGGTAATTTTGATCCAAGACCATAAGACCTAGCGCAAGCCCACTTATTTAACCAAGCAAGGGTTTGTTCAAACTGGTGCCTTGTCTCATTGCCATATGTATTCATTTTTTCTAGACAGTTTTCGGCCTGCTTCCTCCACTCTTCTTCACCATAATCCAAATACCATTGATCACACAGTGCTACAACACATTCGTCACCAGATCGAGACATTACGAGACCTTCTGGTTCACTATATAAAAATCCTTGACCATTGGAAATCAATAAATCTCTAACCAAAGGTTTTGCTTCTTGAACTGGTTTACCCTTGAAATCACCAATTAACATAACGCCATTGTAAAATCCTTCTTTATATACTATTTCCTTGGCCTCGGTCAATTGTACACGATCCTTTTGAGAATTAATCTTTTTTTGCTGACACACAGTTGGTGCCGCTAGATTACCATATGTCGGTGTATCTATAATAGGGATAGGATCGAAAGCAGCCCATGAAGGATCAATCTTGTAATAAGCAGATTTTTTCTTGAGATCTTGAAGTGTTATATAATCGTCAGGAGAATCCGAAGGCACAGATGTGACAACACCAGTACCTTTTGTAGTTATAACATTCTCCATTGGTAAGACATAGACTTGATCATATTTGCTTAATGGAGGTCTCACTTTAGTACCGATTAAGGCAGCACCTTTGACTTCAGCTATTTGATGAACTACACCACGTTCGCTAGTATAACCTTGGAATGCCATATTACGAGCAGAACGATAAGTGCATAAAAATACGTCTGTTTCGTTGATTTTATAAAGGCCATAATTTAAGCCAGTTCCAACATAACAATTTGTCTGACCATACCTAATAAACAATAATATGAAATGAATAAAATTAAAAGTAAATACAATAGATAAAAATCTTTTTACAAACTTACATTGTTTCAGGTCTCATAGTAGCAGCAATTAGATATATATTTTTGTTTTCTAACTCCTTAACAGAACCTAAAGTATTTTGAGCCTCTTCACTCCATTCTATAACCTGAAGTTTGATTCCAGTATATTCTTGTGGACCAACGCCTTCACCACTTTGTCGATCGTGATCCATACAAGGTTGACCATCGAATGGTGAATATATAGTATATCGCTCACCAAATTTCACCTTGTTAAGAACTTTTAATTTTCTCATTTGCCACTGAACAAAAGAATCATAATAAGGGTTTACATCAGTGGTAATAAAGGATCTACGCCAGTCAATTTTAGCGCCAATAGATTTGCAATCACTCTAAAAAAAAAAAGAATGGGTACATGAATAAAAAAAATTCAATAAGATAAATATAATGTTAAAAATATGCAAAAAGTGAAAATTAATACTAACAATGGCTAGTGGGGGAAAGTAATAAAGCCAATGATTCGAATCTGAGAATTTCGCAATTTCATTAAAAGGCACATCCATACTCTGCATTATTTGAAATTGATATTTCTGACCCGTCGACTTTGCAGCAATTTTGCCCTTTTTGTTAGACACTTTAGTTGCAGCACCAGAAGGATCCTGTGATTTGATAGCATTATCATCATTCAACTCTAAATCTTTGACGCCTTCTTCTAGATCATCTTGATCTGGTATTTTAAATTCGGGCCCAAATTGTTTGATTTCGCGAGATAATTTATCAGCACAAGCCTATACATACCGATCAATTGTTGTAGGCATTAAGAGAAAATTCGTTATCCCAAAAACCAACAAAGTAGGAATGTATATACCTTAATTGGCATACCAGTACAATGAAAACCTAAAGGAAATAAAGCTCTCTTTCCTTTCATTCGTTCATAGCCAGTGCCAAATTCGAGCTTTGTTATTGTGAAAAGATGGCCTAAATGTAGTCTTCCATTCATGTAAGGATATGGAAAAGTTCCCATATATTTTGGATATTTTTCATGTAAAATAGAATCATCAGGTTCTTCTTCAATTGTGGGAGCATTGACTTCAAATACATGTTCATTTTCCCATAATTGCTGAACTTTTTTTTCTATAGCTCGTAAGGTATCGCGCTTAACGGTCTATTTTTTGGATAATCAAATAAAATATGTAATAAGTTAAAAATTATCGAGAAAAATGAAAAAAAATTTATTATACTTTTTTTGGCTCTTCCACGGCTTTTGTCACGACAGTCGCCATAATAAAAAAACTAAAAAAAACTTACCGTTACGTATTAGAAAAAATCGCCGTTTTTATCTGTGATGGATGATAATCATTATATTTATATACAATGTGTGAGTCATCAGCTGCGGTTTCAGAATCTGCTGCGACGTATAAAAAAAAAAAAATTTCTTTATATTGTTTTATCGACTCATAACGTTGAATTAACTCAAGTTAAGTCATATGGCTAAGAATGTTTTTGCTAATAAAATAATAAAATAAACTGTAAATAAATAAGTTGAATAATACTGTATTTTTGATAATTGTAAAGTTAAAAATATATATTATACAGTATGGTATATAGTATTTTAAATTGATATATAGCTTATTTATATGCAAAATCAGATGCTAAAAACTTTTATTTATTTTATTTTTTTATATTAAGGTGACAACTTTGGCCTCAGCACTTTATTAGTTCAAATAAGTAGGCCATTGTTATATGACTTTTGGCTTTACATATTATATCAGTATCATGAAAGTACAACTAGTCATATGTACAACTTTTAATTATCTAATTTAAGTAGTTCTTGGTGCTATACTAGGGGTTTTACACTAGATGCTATATTTATAGCCTAACTAGGAAGCTATCTATTTTAAACTCTCTGGCTTCAACTAATATTATATGCTTCTTCTTAATATACTTCGAAGGGTAATTTATTACTTAAGACCCTAAGACTTAAGCCATTAATCAAATTTGGGATGCATTTATCTTTGTAGTAAATCTAAAAAAGTAGTACATATCTCACACATATATTTATCTGCATGTTTAGTAATTTTTTTCTAACTAGTACCTGTTGTGTTGCTACCACAAATTCGTATCTCAAGCTAACTTTTGGGGTACTGCCATAACCCAATCCATATTTCAAACTACAACCTTCCTAATTAGTTATCTATTATTTTACTTCTGCTCTTGTAAGGTTCACAATAACTTCTAGTACTCACATTCTATTTATTTTCTTATTTGAATTTCTTATTAGCCTCTCTCTTACTTCCAGCCAGCAACCCAAAGGGTTGGTTTACTTAGGCTTTAAGTGCCTCATAGTCACTCTCTCCTTGGTTTAAACTTTTAGAACATATGGGGATGAGTTAGTAAAAAAGGGACAAATTTTTTCTAAATAAAGTTTTCTTAACTTTAAGATTAAATATCTTAACAACTATCTTATTAAATTTAATAAATTTTTTTTTATTTTAATTTTATATAATTTCAAGATTAAAATAAAAAAAATTTTTAGCAAATTTGATTTTTTTTTTTTTGAGTTAAGGAGACCTCTTTGGCCTGAAAGCTTTTATTAGAATTTGAAACGGTGTTTTATACGCAATTACAACGATGGTACATCAAGCCACACGTGCACCTTTTGAGTGCCTAATTTA